TCTTTATTGTTCTGGCCAAAAGGGTAAAGTTGAAGGAAGCATTTGATCGCATTTTATTGACCCAAATGTAAGCTCGCCGACGAAGCAGACGCAGTGCGGGACGCGGCTGGCGTAGGCCAATCAAGCGGTCCCTCTCTTAAAAAAATCATTGTAGGCCTACACCCCCCCCCCCTTCCCTCAACACAAAATCAGGATAAAAAACCTCGAAAAAATCAGGGAAAACAGAAAAATCGGGTGTACGCTTGTACAGAGTAAAGGACACCTCGGAGCCGGTCCCCGCGCGTAGGACAAAACGCGGGTGTGAGGTCCAGGCCCGCGGGCGTGCAGCATGTGGTGGGAGTTGGGCACGAAAATATTTTGAAATGTTCGGGCACCGTAACAGTAACGCGTACCACTATGGACAGAAAATTAAGTTGGTTTCTATTTCAAATGCAAAATACACTATAGCGGAATACAGGTAACATGCAGAGTACAGGCAGCGGACGCAGCGCGCAGCTTTCGCCATTTTGGCAGCGGTGTGCCTCGAGGACACGGGCCGTGGCGCCGGTATCAGAGGTGCAACGCGCGCAGCGACTTCGGGGCGGGCGGCACCGGGTCCTGGTACGAGCACGAGGGCACTGCAACCACACACAACAGGGGGATGTACTCCACCAACACTGCGACGAGTGTACCATTCGGGAAATATTTCTTTATTTCACGGGCAGCTAAAATAGAATATCATACACTAACATATGAATGCTGTTTCATACCTTTCTCGCGTCACACCTTTACACATTTTACTGTCCCGTCCAGTTTGACGTGCCGGCGGTCCAAGTGCTGGTGCAACGCATCAACGGCCTCGGTAGAGGCCTCGGCGCACAGCGAGCAGCCCTCCGTCTCGGACACGGGGTGCCTGAAGACCATCTTCTGGTAACCGTATATCGCGTGCATTTTTGGCATCGGGGCACGGTCCACCAGGCTCTGGAGCTCCGAGACCAGCCTCGCGGCTTTCCCACATTTAGATTCTGCGGGCAAATGTACGGGTGTCTGTCATTTTTGAGAATTTTTTCAAGATTTTTAAATAAAATTCTCCGAATTTCTCGTGCACAGTTTTCATTGTTTTTAATTTTTTGTGGACATATTTCAATCTTTTCTATTTATTTCTGGAAAAGTTTCGAATTTTTCCGGAAAAAATTAGGGCTGTGAAATACCCAGTCGCTGAGCTTTCCACAGGGAAATTCGACGCAAAGCCCTCGAGGGTGAGCTGCCTTACCGTTGGGGCACGGACAGGGAGATTCTTTACAGAGTTCGTCGCCCACGACGACGACCAACTCGAGGGCGGGGATGGTGGCCGGCATGACCACCTGGAGCACTGCGGGCGGCGGCTTGCACAGGATGAGCGAGCGAAGGCCGGGGAGTCCCGCCAGAGCCGCAGGCAGCTCACTCAGCGATCCAGCGTGCCAGAGGTACTTGTCGGCGTAGGACCCGCCCAGCACGAGACACCGTAGCCGCGACAGCCCGCCCGCCCCCAGGACGTCCAGCGGTATGGGAGGAACGCCGTGTAGCTCGAGGCGTTCCAGGGGGCACGGGGACCGAAAGAAGTTCTCCAGCTGGGAACATCACGGCGGTCAGTACAGCATGACAGAGCTCATGTATCCCCCTTCTGACCCTACACGAACTTTGTTTGTCACAGTGTTTACTTTAGTACAGAGCTGTTGCAAAAGTTTAAATTCAATGTCCAAGTTGATGTTCAACTCCTTTAGCCCGTGGATTCGTCCAAGAGCGGCAGCGTCGCTTGCATTCAAATCTTTGATCTCCAGCCTGCGCAGGTCAGTGGGTAGTCCGTCATCCACGAGATGTACGAGCAGTTGTCGGCCCTTGTTCGAATACATCTTCAGGCAGTCCAGCTGTTTGCTGCAAAGGAAAAGAGGCCAGGAACTAAAATACCTGCTGGAGAATGAGCGTAGCGTAATAAAAAAAAAAACATTTTGTAAACGATATCGAAACGGCAGCGTTAAATCGTTTTCGTTCCGCTTGCGATGGTTTTTCTCGCTGGGTGTCAGTGTCGAGTAAGGGGCGGTACCTACCTGTGTGCTCGGAGCAGTGAGTGGAGACCTTTCAGGCTTCCCTCAGAGTAGGCTGAGTCGGAGTCTGGATCCACAAACACTGAGCGCAGCTTCGGCAGCACCAACTCCTGCGGGTAGGGACGTGGTTAGAAACACCTTAGAGACACGGTGCAGTAACTTGGCCCGCTCTGTCGGCTCAGCGGCGTGCGTCCTTTACCTGTGGCCACAGCGGGATCTGCTTCCTATTAAGATGGACCGACAGCACGACAAGATGCTCGAGCTCCAGCCAGCTGGCATTTTTCAACAGGCTGAAAATGACGTCCAGACCGTCCACGATCACCTCCAGGCACTTCGCCGTCTTGGCGACCTCCCGGATGAGGCTCGAGGATTCCTCAGACGTGAAGGTCGGCATTTCCATGCACAGCATTCGAGGGGGACAAGTGGTGTGGATGCGGCGGTCGCCGTCGAGGCAGCCTACGACTAAACCTTTGGGATCGGGACGCCCGCTGTATTGAAAGGCAATTTTCTTCTTTGTCTTCTGGATGCACACCACCTCCAGAGGAGCGGCCACCCTCAACAGGTCCATCGCATCCGCGATACTTTTGAGCTTGATCTCGCCCCGTTCGCGCCACGGCAGCGTCCTGGTGAGCGCGGCCAGGCGCAGGCAGGTGCGGCCGGCGGCGAACAGGTCCTTGGGGGACAGCTGGGACAGCACCTGCAGCAGCGGCACGTCGGGCAGGTCGAGCAGCAGCTGCGGGCAGAACGAGGGTGACTTAAAAGGGGGGGGGAGGGGGCGATCACCCCCGTTGCCTACTGTAAACTTGAATGTATATCTAAGGTGTCCAGCAGCTGTGCGACATGCGACTGAAATAGCACACCTGTTGGACACCATTGTGTTGGGGTGTTGGGGGCCGCACCACAAGGTGCACCATGCCCAGCCAGCAGCTGTGTTGAAAGTTGCACAGGTTCGAGGGTCGTGCAACTTGAGCCTCGTAGTTCCTGGACACTTCTGATTAACAGTGTAGTGACCACGCGCCACGCGTTGACGCTGCTTGGCCCTACCCTAACCCCTCTCAGTTTGCATTTCCCATGACTGCAAGCCCTACCTGCTCCTGGTGGTCCATGGCGTTGGCTTCCTCTGAAGTCGTCCCGGACGCCTCGGAGTTCCTGGCTGCTTTCTGTGGCCGTCGAGACCCCGTCGGTGTTGGTGGTGCCATCTCCAGCGCGACAGATAAAAGGTAACCTAACCTATAAAACAAGGACAGCGGCCGGCCCGGCGGCGTGTTCGTGTTCACTGCGCGTTGCTGATCCACAGAGTCGCGGTCCGGACGCGTCTTGAAATGTCGGAGAGAAGAGGGTACAACAAAGGTACTAAGGCAGCCCGAAAGGAAATTAAAAGAACGAGGGGTAGCATACTCACGAGTACTAACAGCAAACAAAACACGGCGACTTGTACACAAAAACAAACGCGTTGGGGACGGCGGGGTGGCGGCGCGTGGTGGGACCAAAACATAACAGACAACAACAGCAGACACCGACACCGCCTTCACTATTCGAGTGTATTTACCGTATTTACAGTACACGATGTGCAGTACGTCAAATGACTACCAGTGAGTGTTGACTGGGTGAGAAAGGTGTTTTGCAGAGTTCATTTTTAGACAGTCCCCAAGACTGTCTCTACCGCACCTTGCTCTACCGGTCTCTGCCGGCCCCCTCCCCCCTCCCCCAACTTTCCTCGTTCTACACTTGTTCTTTTGTCGGAGGCATATGGGGAGGCTTGAGACATTTTACCACGTCAATCTCCGGTCAAACCCTCGCAGCGCCGTCTGCTGCGCGCTACCCCTCAACCTCAATCCCGGGCACGAAGGCCCCGGTGCCCGGGCCCCGAGCCCGAGTGGCCCCGAGCTGCGCTATACGGCCGCGGTGGGCGCGGGACGGCGGAGCGGTTTCAAACGTCGCCCCGCGACACCCGGCTCGGCTCTGGCCCATAGACCCCGCCAAGGTCAGGACGCTCACGCTCGCTTTCGGGAAACCTGTGCCGATGCGCAGCCTCCGTTGGCGGCTTCGTGCCGCGGGCCCAGAAACGACATAGACAGCCCACTGGGCGGCAATCTCGACCGAAGTAACGACGTTAAAAGCGTCCGCGACGAAGTCGTTTCGCGACGTTATGCGCTCGCTCAAACCTCTCCGCAATCGGCG